GAAAAGAAATGAAACATCATCATCTATATACGAAAATTGAAAACAAAGAGGAGTTAAAAACCATTTTAGGTTTGGGGGGTCAAAATGGTAAATTTATTGGATGGATGGGAATTGGTCAGAGAGTGGTCAAAGCTGTGGTTGGAATTAAGTAGACGGGGCGTGTTTTTTTGTGCAAAGCATGCAAAGGTGATTATTGGCTGGCTGACCACGACTTTCAAACCCTAGCTACCTTCTGGCCAGGACAGGGACTGACACGTGTCAGTCACATTCCTCTGCGTTGTGCCGCAATATCTGAATTGACACCACCATGCCTTCAAATTTAATTACCCGGAATTATATTTTTTTTATTTTAGTGACCGCGTATGGCCGGTGGAATCTATTAATAGTTGTAAAATGTTTCACCGTCGTCGACCCTTCCTCTCTCTCTCTCCTCCGATGTCTACAGTTTCCAAGGCCGGGAAAGAAAGAAATAAAGAAAGACTAATTCAGATGAAACACAACAGAAGGGACAACGGAAGAGTGTTTACAATCATGTCAAAGTACTTAGAATTCAAATAACAACGAGACTCCATAACTTGTAATTGTAGCGGCTGATAATCCGATTTAATTCATGTCAATCGTTCTAATTGCAAACTTTTGTATTTGTAGCTCTAATTTGTTATTACTAGTTCTCATAGTAATTACTTGGCGATAGGGGAGAAAGGTAAGTGGGGGTGGAAGCAAGAGGCGTGGGATGCTGCTCCCTTGTTGTGGGGCATCGTCTCAGTCTCATCAGTCAACTTAACTTTACATAAACATCATGGAAAAATTTCAACAAATGAAAAGAGAATTTTTGGGGGAAGTGTGTAAGCTAGTTAAATGCAGCAGCACTAGCACTGTCTCTACCCTTAAACCATATTATTATAGTTAAAAAAAAAATAGTTAGGTCTTTTACTTCCTGTTTCTTTCTTCACGGTATGACCAAGCTAGTTAGCTAGCTGCTTTACTGTAAGTTATGGGGTTTCGACTTCGTTGTCTGGTCAGCGAGTCGGGTCTTAGGGACGAAACTCCCTAATTAGGATTTCAGGGTCCAAGGTGGACCCCCCGGTGTATGGGTTTAGGTTATACACATATAATCTTGTCTCTTGAAGCTTGTATCTCCTACTGCTAAATTAGCTAACACTAATGAACCACATAAATCTATTAATTATTTATTTTTGTATTGTCGATTTTCCGTCCCGTCTAACAAAACTTGTCCTTGATGGCCTCTCTATCGTGATCATCTCCTCTCTGCAGAAGAAACTCTTAGTTTTGTATTTTGCCCATCAAATTAAACAAAAGAAGAAGAAAAATCAATTGCTTCCTGTGCTATCTTATAGAACATATGGGGTCTTATTTTAAGTTTTTAAGTTGCATAGGCCCATTAGTTTTTTTCTAAGAAGGTGAGAATATGGCCATTAGTTATGGAGGAAAAGCCAGTCTGAACTCTGCAACTCTTCTGAGCAAAATTTGACATAAGCAGCACACAGAGAATCAAACATTGCTACATATGTTTGATCAGACCATCGTCAACCTTCCAATATGTCATGCTCTTTCCGGTCTTTTCACATGTCTTTTCCCCCCCTCCCGACCATGAATTAAGAATATTAGTTCTGTCACAGTTAATGGTGTGGCTCGGTTTAACTATGACAAAACCTTCAATTCCCCATTTTATGGAATGTTGTTTATTTGCAGTAGGTAGTAGATGAAAAAAGACCAATGTGGTTTGCTAGCTAGCTAGTTCAAAGTGCATGCTTAGATTACGATGAAAAGGAATGAGATGCGAGTTACCATCCTAACCCCCCACAAATTGACGTTTATCGCTCTTATCTTGAGCTTATCAGTGATCCAACAAACAATATTAACGCGTGCGTAGTTTAAACTGTTAAGAAAATTATGATGAGTTGTGGAAGAAAATAGAAAGCGCGAGGCAAAATAAAATTGAACCGGACATTTGATCTTGTTTGATAGGGCATGTCTCATCTACCTTTTGCTATATGTACAATAGTTATTACAATGGTTGGATGATGAGATTTTAAGTGATCAACACAATGTTCATAGTGTTTCGATATGAGGGCTTGTTTGGAGCTGAGTCCTCGCTGTGCATGTTATGCGTTTGTGCTCGTTCGATGAGACTTTTTTTCCCCTTCCTTCTTCATGGTTTCTCTCAACTTGTTCGTATCCATGATGCATTCATTTGTTAGCATAAACATGTATCATTAATTCGAAAAAACAATATGCGTATGTTTAATTTGATGAGATCAAAGAACGAAATTATGAAGACAATGTGGTTGGAGATTGCACGTATATAGTTAGAGATGGCTGCGCAGATTTGATTTTGGTGAGATCTCTCAATCTTTCGAATGTTTATCTACGGCTTGTTTAACGATCGAGACATTTGCTGGGATTTGTGTATTCTATTTGCTCTTTGCGTTCAAGTGTTGAATAAGAATAATCCTTTTTTTTTTTTTTTAACTACATCAATGGCAGCTAGCTAGATCGCATTAAGCTCACCTCTTAGGGCCAATTTTATAATCTGGGAGAAGGGGCACGAAGATCAATTGGGCGGTCAACAGATTTTTACTTGGGGGAACACAAACCAAATCCTGCTTCCAAACAAATTAACTATTCTCCTTTTTATTTTTTACCTTTTCTTTTTGTCTTCATTGCATAAACTAATTAAGTAGTTAATTACCCATTTGTGTTCTGATTAATTTTTAAAATATATTTGAATAGAAACCTTAGGGTGTATAGTATCCAAAGAAGTAAGTTCTACTCGATCTTTTGCATGAGGGTCCATCTAATAATATTTTATGCTAGGGCATCAAAAAATAAATAAATATTGCATGTCCGTACACACACTCACTAATGGGAGTATTCATCTTATATATTATTTAACACATGCAAAGAAAGGAGGTGCTCAACTAGGGGATCCACGAAAATTAAGAGGGTTTAGGACTAGATTGTATACTTAAAAACACATTTGGATTTTTTTTTTTTTTTAATGAACGAGCAAGTGCTTGTATAGTTGTATTTATTGAATAAATGTTGAGTTTATAAGAAGTGGACTAACTCCATGATATATGTCCGGACATATGCAAATTTTTAAGCACCATGACCCGACATTCGTTTGAAATGAATGGTATAATATTCATATTGCATGTCCAACCGATCATATGAACAAATTCTGGGTAGAACAACAAGGAATACGAATAATCAAGATTTTGTCATATCAGCACTACAACTGAAATAGAGATTCCAGGCGCTCTACTAATGAATTGGAATTGAAGAAGAAAGAAGCAGAGATCAGCCAAACAATGATCTTCCTACTAAGAAAGCAAAGAGATACATAGTTTTCGATAGTACGTTTTGCCAATATCAAACGGATGATTTTTACTCCGTATATACATACGACTCCAGATATGATTTCCTTCTCGTGGAAGGAGAAACGATCAAGTAATTACTTTTGGTAGAATGGGGGAAGATGGTTTGAAAGAAAGTAAGCAAGGAAGGAAGGAAGAAGGTCCATATTATGGTGAAGAAGAAGAAGAAGAAGAAGAAGAAGAAGAAGAAGAGAAATGAGATAAGAGGAAGAGAAGATGGGTGATTGGAGGAGTGTGGGAATGCTGGGCTTTGGGGAGTCATGGATTTGGAGGATCGAGATGTGTACCACAGTTCCCATAAAAATCAATCAATTAAACCTTATTCTATCGACTTCAAGTGGGGTTACAAAGAGAAGGAAGAAATTAATAAAGGGGCTGGGGGTGGTGTTTCCTTGGATTTTTTCCAGTTGGAATTGACGGTTTGTCTCAATACACACACAAAAAAAAAAGTATTTAATGTTTATGACATTAGTTTAGTGTATAAATTGCACATTCGTGTCCTGGTATGGATTCTCTGTACACTTTTTTCTTGGCAGAGATGAAGAGATATTAATTATGTGCATGATGACTCTTTATTTTTATTTATTTATTAGACTATTGATTAATTTAGTTCATTAATTAATTAACTTAAAGAGTAGTATCGGGAACTGTTGCTGGTGGTGTTGAATGTTCATGGTCTATGACCGCTTGCAATGACCATTGCCAAGTTCAGAAACAAAAGCAAACAAGAAAAAAAAGGTTAAATCTTTTTCTTCTTCTTTTTGAGAGAGTTAGGTTTTCTTATTGAAAGATTATAAATGCACATATATATACTTATATATAATCGATCAAGTACATTGGATTGGATAGTGAAAAAAAAAAAAACAAGTTTTCTATTCATTACACGTAACTGTAATATTCATATTCAAATTTTTATCTATATTCTTTTGAATTTTTATGTTATTTATAATCGGTTATTCCTGTTCGCCCAAACTGAATCAGGGTCATGCAAAACCGAACCACCACCCAAAACTACCACCTTATATATTTAAAAGTAGGTTTAAAATATGAGAAGGCACAACTTGGTGGATCGATTTCCGTGTGTCTGCGTGTATGCCTCCTACATTTGACAGGAGGTAGACAGAGAAGCAAAACAAACAAAGAAAAATAAATTTAACAAAAAGAAAGAAGAATTGTCTATCTAGCTAGCTACTAACCCATTATATATTTATTTTTTTGTTTACTTAAGTAGCTTCATTTCACCCCCCACAAAATTCTCTCTTTTCAGCCTCTCTCTCCCTTCTCTTCTCAATCCTCCTCCACTTTCCCTCCTTTTTCTCTCCATAGGCAAAGAGAGGTGATATCTCAAGAGCTTCTCACTTCAAGCAATAACTCGAACTCCATTCATGTATGTGATCATCTCTTGTAAACCTCTTCCTCTTCGATATATCCATCTCCACTTCTCACCTCCTCTTTCACTTTTGCATATTGAAGGTTTAATTTGCTTATATTCTGTGTGTGTGTGTTCTTTCTTCCTCTTCTTCTTGGTTTTACATGCAGAGAAGGAGAGATTTAACTTGGAAGGAAGGGATTCAAAAGAGAGGGCTGCCTGCAACAACAATGAATTCCAACAACTGGCTCTCCTTCCCACTTTCCCCTACTCATCCCACTTTGCAAACCCATCTCCAGTCTTCTCACTCCCACCACTTCTCCCTCGGACTAGTCAATGACACCATGGACAACCCTTTTCATTCCCAAGGTAATCTTAATCAACTTTTCCCTCATCATTCTCTCTACACCTCGAGTTATTAGTACGAACCACCACGACTTCTGAACTGACATCGAAACTCAAATTTATCAAAATAGGGTTTTCATCTCATGTTGCATCTTTTTTTTGTGCTTTTTTTTTTCTTTTGGCCACACATAGGAGATTGGAGCCTTGTGAACAATCAAGCAAGTGATGAAGTCCCAAAAGTGGCCGACTTCCTAGGAGTGAGCAAATCCGAAAACGACAGCCACCACGCCGGAGATCATCTCGTTGCCTACAACGACCTCCATCACGGCGATGCTGCGGCGGAGTACTTGTTTGCAACCGGCGGGACAACCAGCCTGATGCCGGTGCACAACTCCACGGCGGTGGTGGCGGCGGCGGGGGCCACGGCATCTAGTAACTACGAGTTCCAAGAGAGCGCCGGCAGCCTGCAAGGGCTGACGCTGTCGATGGGGAGCGCCAGCGGGAAGAGCGAGACCAGTGGGGATAACACGAGCAGCACTACAACGGAGGCCGCCGCTCCGAGGAGGACGTTGGATACTTTCGGCCAGCGAACTTCCATTTACCGTGGCGTTACGAGGTCAGTACTTCGTCTTTCTTTATTGCACTTTGTTGGGTTTCTAGGGTTTTGAAAAAAAAAAGTTTTGGTGGGTTAGAGTCAAATGTTACGTACTAAACTCTTCTTATCGATCTTTCGACTATCAAAAGACTCGACTTCCTCTCTCCTTTTGCTCTTGGAAGAAGTAGTCAACCGGTGTGAGATATACTTTGTAAGAGAAATCGATCCTAGACGTTCGAATTTGAACAGAAACCAACATTTCGTTAATCCGAAAATCTGGATTCAGAATGTGTTGGATGTTTTTCTTAGACGCATGTGTCCTATCAGCGCGTGTCTCGTTTCTCTAGATTCTAATGTGGGTCATTGCAGGCATAGATGGACAGGAAGGTATGAAGCTCACCTTTGGGACAATAGCTGTAGAAGGGAAGGCCAATCAAGGAAAGGAAGACAAGGTAAATTAAAGGATGAACACATTTTGGATTTTAAATTTTTTTTTTTAAACCTATTTTAGAACATTTATATTCTGACAAAATTCCCCTTTTGTTCTTTTCCTTTACTGATCTCCCCATAATGGTGTAATTCTGCCACTGCCAGTGTATCTAGGTCAGTATATATACACTTACACCTCATCAGATCTTCTGTTCTTTCTCCCTTTTGTTGCAGTTTCTTCTTCTTCTTCTTCTTGTCTTTTCCTATGTCGTTATTGTGTCCAATTATTTTGCCAAAAGTGGGAGTATACTAAACCTTTGTACGATGATGATGTGGTTCAGGTGGGTATGATAAAGAAGAAAAGGCTGCTAGGGCTTACGATTTGGCTGCTCTAAAGTATTGGGGTCCATCTACTACCACCAATTTCCCCGTCTGTTTTTCCTTTCTTCCCTCTTCCAATTTATTTACACACATCATTACATCTTGGCAAACCCTAAATCGTATGTTTCAATCTTAACATGGAACTTTTCATTCTGCCCCATAGATCACCAACTATGAGAAGGAATTGGAGGATATGAAGCATATGACCAGACAGGAGTTCGTTGCTTCCATTCGAAGGTATGTTCGTACTAACAATTAAATCTGTAGCTTCCATTACAATCTCATTTCCGTGTTATATATAAGATGCACATAAAGTTTATTTATACGAGATATGAGTTCATCACGACAAATCCCTGATGACAATGCCTCAAATAAAATTGCAGGAAGAGCAGTGGCTTCTCTAGAGGCGCATCGATGTATCGTGGTGTGACAAGGTACGGACATGTTTTTCTCTCCCATTACACAAATCCTAATCCAAAGAACTTGTCCATTCCATTTCTATACCTTTGAAGTTTTCTCATCCAATGGAAAAAAAAAAAAAAATTGGAACTATCATCTCAGGCATCACCAACATGGAAGATGGCAAGCGAGGATCGGCAGAGTTGCCGGAAACAAAGATCTCTACCTCGGCACTTTCAGTAAGCCTGCTTAATTTCTTTCGCTTTACACTTTTAACTCAAATTAAAGATTCAGCCTTATATCGCGTCGACCTACCACACACAGCAAATAAAAACACAAGCTCACCCACTAACAATATTTGTCTAATATAGGCACGGAGGAGGAGGCGGCGGAAGCGTACGACATAGCGGCGATAAAATTCCGCGGCCTGAACGCCGTCACCAACTTCGACATGAACCGCTACGACGTCAAGAGCATCCTCGAGAGCAACACGCTCCCCATCGGCGGCGGCGCCGCCAAGCGGCTCAAGGAAGCCCAGGCGCTCGAGTCCTCCCGCAAAAGGGAGGAGATGATCGCCCTCGGCTCCACCTACCCATACGCCGCCGCCGCCGCCGGCGGCTCGAGCCGGCTCCAAGCCTACTCCCTAATGCAGCCGACAGCCTACGAGGCCCAGCCGCTGCTCACCCTCCAAAACGCGCCCGACATCTCGTCGTACGACGCCGCAGCGGCGGCGTCGTTTCACCAGAACAACTACCTGCAGACGCAGCTCCACCTGGCGAACCAATCGGCGGCCGCCACGTCGTACCAGGGCGGGTCGTCCACGTCGCAGTTCTACAGCAGTTACTTGCAGAGCAACCCGGGGATGCTTCACGGGTTGATGAACATGGAGGCCGGGAGTAATAATAATAATAATAGTGGCGGTGGTTCGGGTGGGTCGATTTACGGTTCGGGCGGCGGTGGGTTCTTGGGTAGTGGGTTGGGGATGGCGACCGGTGGTTCGGGTGGGTCGGGTGGACCGGGGTCCGGAGGAGAGGAAGGGGTTGGGGCGTTGGTGAAGGTGGATTACGATATGCCTTCCACTGGTGGGTACGGTGGCTGGACCGGGGAGTCGGTCCCTGGGTCGAACCCGGGCATGTTCACGATGTGGAATGATTGACCCGATCGACTCGGCTCGACTGTGGTGTAGGGTGTAGAGGGAGATGGCTGGAATTTGGAAGAGGGGAAGTGGGGATCATCTAATTAATTAACCCTAAGTTTTAAGGCTAATCTTTTTCGTTGATTTTGTTTGTTCTATTTTCGGTTCTGGTTTTCGGTTAACAAGAAGAGAGATGATGTGAATCAACTCGTTACTGACCCCTCAAATCTTAATTGATTGATTGGGTTAATTTTCCTTTCTTTTGGGTTATTGGGGACATGTGGGCTTTGATTATGGGTGAATTGCCACCCAAATTTTGTAACCTATATTGCTCATGTGTCTTCTTTGGAGCGAACGTGATTAATTGATATATAAAGTATATCCTCGGCAATATTTTGTATTCATTTTCTATACTTTGTATATGGGTAATTAACATAAAAGGTCACAAACCTTTACATTTAGTACAAATCGGTAACAAATCTTTAATTTGTAAAAAATTGGTAACAAAAGTTTGAGCAAATATCAAAATAGTAATTTCGTCACTTTCCATCCGAATTTCCGTCTCCTTTACTTAGTCATCATTCCACATCATCAAAACTATTAATAAACAAATCCAATATATTAAGATTTACTCAACTCACCGGTCCACCCCCACCCAAACCGTAAGATCCACCCACCTCTTGATTTTGGAAATAAATCCCTCTCATACCCGATTCCCATCACCCATACCCAAAATCCCCTTCGCTCTGGCCATCCAATTAATTTGTCGTTCAAAAGAGAAGGAATTGGCTGGAGGCTCAAGATTTGGGTGGTTGTTGTCCCAAATTCATTGTTCAATCCCATGGAAGTCGTAGAGAATTTCTTGTTCCTTTGCCTCACGCTAGTTCTTCTGCGATCCACACAAGCAGGGCAGCAGAGGAGTGATAGATCGGAGCTCCTCCCGCATCGATGTCATCTCGGGCCTCGGCACCCGTCCCCTGGGACCATCTTTCTCGACGGTGATGATGACTGCTCGCGCAGAGGGCGGTGAGGCTCGGACGGAGATGGGTCGTTTTTGGGTTTGCAAGGGTCGCCAGTCGTTTTTATTTTATTTTTTCAGGGCGGTGGGTTGTGTTTTTGGGAAGGGGGCGCAGACAGGGGAAGGGCCGGGGGAGAGTTTGACGGATGGGAGGAACGGCGACGACGAGCTTGGAGGGAAGACGAGGCTCGGGCGGAGCTAGGTCGTTTCTAGGTTTGCAATTGCAATTGCCGGCGGGCGACGGCAAGGGAAAGCGAGTTCGACGATGGGTATCGAACAAAGAAGAGACTAGAGAGTGCGTTGGTTTGGTCAATCTCTTGGCCAAGATTGGGTATGGTCTATGGGCTGGGTCATGACATGGAATTGCTTAGGTGGTTTATGATTATTTTTTATTATTATTTTGTGTGATTTGGAAGGATGACTAAGCAAGAGAGACGGAAATTTGGATGGAAGGTGACGGAATTACCGTTTTGATATTCGCTTGAAGGTTTGTGATCGATTTGTTACAAATTAAAGGTTTGTTACCATTTTGTACTAAGTGTAAAGATTTGTGACCTTTAATGTTAATTACCCCTTTGTATATCCATAGCGATTAGTTTCCTTTTACATATTCCTTTGGACTTGTTGCTTAGATAAATTTGGTGCACCATCAATGTAGTTGCATGCATGAAGAGTGGTCCGAGCGGCGACGTCCTTGCTTGCATGTTGGGCCTGGGCTTTATTCTTTTAACATGGGCCAGGCCGGCTACAGTTGGTGAGCTTTTTTGGGGGTATACAAACTGCAATTATGGGTTGTAATAGATCTGCGTCTTTCTTGGATTCCTTCGGGATCGTTGGTCACGAGATGGGAACAAAGTGAAGTGATCATGGTTCGTCAAGTTCTAGTTTTCTCACCTTATATATTTGAGGCGTTGGTTTTTTTTTTCTTCTTGGATTCATATATAGTAGTCAGTAGATAGTTTAGATCTCAAATGGTTCCTTGATCGTGTTATGTTCCTCTTACTTAGGGTGATCAAGTTTGTATCTTACTTATCCTTTCAAATGATAATAATGAGTTCGGTACTTTCAAATGATAATAATGAGTTTGTTACAACCGACAGGACGAGACTGGTGAAGACTGAAGCATGTGTTACAGGAACGGTCCAGTATACATGATTGTGTTTACTGATCCATTCGTGGTGGAACTCCTAGCTCTTCATGAGCGTAGGAGAAGGAGTAGAATGAATTGAAACGATTGTTTGTGGCAACGCAAATATTGTCCGGGACATATGCAACAATCATCAGACATGATTATATACAATCTCATACTATCGTCTTGCATATTCATATTCGTGTTAAGCAAACTTCTTCAATTTTTTCCTCTTTGTTATTTTTCATTTTCTCTAAATGGGAGTTGTGAATGATGGTCGTCCGGCGGCAATGATAGAATACTTGAATTCGTTCGTGCCATCAATTAGTGCCCACGAGGATCTGCAATCAAACCACCACCATCCCAACCAGTTCAATGATTACACGTTTTGGTGTCTGTCTTGAGTAAAAAGATAGGTGCTTTTTTATGCAAGGAATGTTGGGTACAGTAGCAGTAGTAAGTGAAAGCTGTATTTCCACCACCGCTATTACCACTACCATCACCACTACCGCCGCCCACCAGCTTTTCTTCTCATGGCTTCTACTATTGTGAATTACTTAGGGGTCGTTTGGAAGTTGCGATAATTTTGTTGAGATTGTCATTATGCATGTATTGTTTACAATGCATCGTTTTTTTTGTTTTTTTAGCAGAAACAATACATGGATTGTTTCTGTGATGTGCATAAACTATCACTCATTTTGAGTGATTGTTATATCTCAACTTTTAGTTGTGATTGTTGAGATAGTTGAGTTGAGATTGTTTTGTCTCAGCTTTTAGCTGATGCGACATACACAATCACACATACCAAACGTTGTATTCTACAATGCATCAAATTCGACAATACATGTATAATATTATACATGCATTCTCAACAATACATCTATTACACAATCGCAACTTCCAAACGAACCCTTAATAAGTTATTACCATCGACTCGATGAGAGAGTGCTAACACTTTGATCTTATTACTTATAGAGATATATACAGGGCTTTTCAAATTCACGTAGCTTACAGATTTAAGCTTATGTACTCTCATGAGTATTCAAAATCGTGGAGGAGTTGATAACTGCGCATACGAACTAATATTTGTGAATTCGAAGTATTCAAAAATCCATGACTCAAATTCATTCGAGATTTCAAATCAGCCCAATCTGCCTTGTCAATTAATGTAAGCTTCATTCTTTATGAGGGTTTTGGTTAGGTATATTGACATGTTCGTTTATGTAGAGATATGCATGCATGAACAATTTTTTTTTTATATATATAATATGCATGAACAATTAATTAATGCTGATTGCACTCCCGCTGTCACGTCCCTAATTGCCTGGCTGTTGGGCCCTGGGCCCCTGGGCTTTATGCCCTACGGATCTGACATTTTTGGGCTCCTCTCTCTCTCTCTCCAAGTATCTATATTGCAACAAAATCCCTATGCATTGCTTATACAAACCAAAGCATGGGAAAACAATAGCTCAATTTGGTTACCGTTGCAGAAATGAGGCCAACATGGATGGAGCCATGGAGGCCCACAAAAATTTGATAAGCCAAAGGGGGCAAGGGGCCCAAAAGAAAAGTGATTTCTATGTAAATCACTGATTTAAACCTACTGATTTTCTTAATTAAGGTAACCTTTTGGGTGTTAATTCACAATTTGGCATATCCCCTTTTACAAACTGTTCATCACAAACAATCATCCTAAATTAATTAGAATTCGTTCGTGGCCTCGTGCCTACAGTACGTACTCTCAAGATAACATTAACTAAACCTAATTAAAGTAACCTTTTAATGACCCATTTACCTTTAATTAAGAGAAAATTAAAGGGTGATTACTGATTAGCATATAGATCCATATATAGTTTTGTTGAAGGTGGTGGAATCATGGCCGACAAGGCCATCATCAAAGTATATATGCCTTTTTCGGTTTCTAACTTTTACATGGGTTATGTATAGAGCGGAATTTCTCTTTAAAGATGGGTAGTGGGTTATTTGGAAGTAAATTAAATGGAAATGACCAATATATATGAGAAGAAAGAAATGCAACTCCTCATATACAAGAAGATCTCGATCTACAAAGAACATTCATTGTTTCATATGATACTATAACTCGTCATGGAGAGAAATTTAGGTATGATTTATTATATATAAACTTGTGGTGATCATCACGTAATTTCAATGGTTAGTATTTCTAATCAAACACTTGTATAGTTAATCAAGTTCTCGTTAACCGTACATACCATTACGATTTCGATTGTAACCCTCCACAACTACAATCAATCGTCAATGATTCAAGTTTTGGTAATCTCTCTACCTCCAACTCCATCCAAACTCAAAACAAATACACCTAATTGTACAATTTCTGGTCTCCACACCCACTTTTACTTTGAAGAGCCTTTTCAGCAAGGTGGAAGCTTACATTTCTTCCCACCAAATGATGGCAGACAGGAACTCATATTCTACAACTAACCTCTTATTAATTTCCTCCCTTAAGTGGGGTTTATAATGCTTCCAACATTAGGCTCCAAAGATAGGGCCAGCAAGGTGAAAAGAAAACAGTATAGAAAGATTTTGTGTGCCCTAAAGTTACAATATATGGGGTTTTTTCTCTCTCTTGGGTGGATCCTTTTCCCAAAGAATTGCTTCTATATATCTATCTATGGCTTTCTAGTGGAAGGAGAGGAAGATAGATGCCAATTTCTAAAGCATATATATAACTATGGCCACTCTTCTAAATTGTAACATATATATATTCCACACCCTTTTCCAATTCCCCTTACTTTCTTTGTCATTCACATGTTCTCTTTTCTCTTCGTGGGTTACCTACCTGGTTAATTAATGACAATTAGCCTACTCAACTAATGTAATGAGTTTGTCCAAGACATGGACTACATTGTCACATGACACTTTCTTCTATGGTGGTGGCCCTTTTTGATAAACAAGCAACCAAAGTTTGATTAATCCCTGATTAATTTTTTTTCTCATGCAACCCAGATACTCAGAAGAATATGATTTGATTAGCTCGGTAATCGTCTAATCGATGAATTGATTTATCAAAAGTTTATTTTTTCGTCTGCGAGATGACTATTAGATGAGATCGAATGTACGCTTTAATTGTCATGAAAAGTTTATTGATCGCCCGATTAATTAAGCCTAGTAGTTATATTATATATATCTAGATTAATTGATTATGTTAGTTAATTCGCATTTCGGATCACATGTTTTCTGGTGGATAATTGAAAATTTGATGAGTATTTGGCTGTGGTGGCACCATCATCCACCTAAAATGGGGCACATAGAACCCCTAGTTAGGATACAAGAGTAATGATGATGTCAAAATGATTGAACAAGGAAAGGAAGAGAAAGAGGAAGAGAGTACTCATTGATTATGAATTAGATGGACTTTTAGGCTAAGAAAATTCTCCGAAGGGAGTTGATCAACTGGAAACATACGGATTTGCATGTAGATCCCATCTTCCCAAATTAAGATTATTTTGGAGGTCATTTTGAACTCAAATTCTTGGTATTTATAGAGTGTATTACGACAGATTTATCTTAGTCTCTTATATTATTGTTTATATTATAAATTAATTCTCTTGCAAGATAAATGAATTCCATGTCGTTATTCCTTTTACCTTGTAGTTCATATAACTTCGTATAACTTGCCTTGCAAGGAAAGCGTACAACCTAGAAAGATTAGGACACGTACAGTAGCTCTCATGGCCTATCGGGGAAAATACGGTACAAGTGAGTGTAAGCAATCGGGGAAAATACGGTACAATCATTTTGGTGGTTAAACGAAGTAACAGCAACGAAAATAAATTACTAAGATAATCATTATGAATTATTTTAAAACCAAAATTAGAATTTTTGTCAATATTCATTTTGAAAATACAAGATAATCCTTATAATTTTTTACATAAAAATATACTTTTATTTTATATTATTTTAAAACCAAAATAAAATATAAAATAATTTTATTTAATACACCAGGAAATGAAGCTGATCGATTTCGATTTTTTTTTTGTTTCTTATTCATATTTTATATTAGAAATATTTATTTAGTTACTTTTCATGATCTCTAGTATTAAAACGTAATTCTAATAATATATCAGCCAAAAATTGAACTGTTTTTAAGTACTTCTATGAAATATAGAGCTAGAATTTGCTCTTGAAAAAATAACAATAGCATCAAATCAGCCCCTATATATGTACGAGGAAAAACACCAATGATCGTTTTATCCGTAACTAAATTACTCTAATAAATTGAATTTTGAAAAATATTGAAAAATAACTTATGTCATTTATTTAATTTTGTATATTCGCTTCAGCCGAATATCCCTTTGCCTCTTCAACCTCCCGGGCAGGGGCGGAGCCAGGATTTAATCATCGGGGGGCCGGAATTTTCTTAATACGTTACACCAAAAGAGGAAAAACTAGTAATAAAAATTATTTTAAAAATATATTATTATTAATTAAAACTCAAAACTTTTTCACATTGAGTTCACTACAAATCATAAAAAAAATATAATGACAATAGTCGAATTAGCTAATAACTAGCTTCCAAAAAAGAAAGGAGAGGGCTACTGCTTACCAAAAAGGCAAAAAAATAAAATATATGCTCACCTCAAGAATTGAAGCCGTGACCATTTGGTCCTTCTAAATTGCCAATTCCGCTAGGTTAACTCAAATTTCATGTTATAATCTGCACGCTTTGTCTTTTTATTAAATACTTTCTTGTTTATACGTATTATCCTAAACCGTTTACACGTAAGTTCGAGATTCTCGGGGGGGCCGGGGCCCCTTAGGGCCAATGTAGCTCCGCCCCTGCTCCCGGGGGAAAAAATGAAAGTTCAAGAGGGAGAAACCCGTGTAAATATCAATAACTCTATTCCATAGATAGACTCTTTTGTTTATACAAGTCGATCTTTTACACATTGTGCAATCAAAAGATATTGGTTCGCATATGTAGTACATAACAGAAAAGCTATCTTTTACCAACCACACTACTGGTGACTAAAAGTCGCATTGCAGGCTAATATGTGTCGGCTTGCTTGTTCATTCATAAACTCACGTACGTCCAGCAGCCTACTTAACATCAAATCAATTGGGACAAAGTCACGATTGTATTTTGTTTGCATCCCAAATCCGCATGCATGTAATTAAAGATCATGTGAGGAGATGGAACAGAAGAAGCCACTAGTTAACAAAACCCACCAAAAAAGACCAAACATCTGATTCATCAAATCTCCATCTCCGATTTCTCCTCTCCTTTGTCTGCCTCTAAATTCAGTAATGTACTGAATCGATGTCCTCTCATTATCGGGAGCTAGCTAGCTCTCAAGAACCACTAGGAAAAAAGTAGAGAGTTATTGCTCATTGTGCATCCACATGCACATTCCACACGGTGGGAATATTGAAGAGGATTATTAGCTGGCCAAAGGGAAAAGGGAGGAGGCCTATAGCTTTGGGAGTATAGCAGGGGCGGAGCCAGGATTTCGAGACCGGGGAGGGGGCCCCCGAAAATAATTAAATAAAAAACTAACATAATATTTTATAATTATTTTAGAAATACACGACGTTCTTTGAGATCATTGAAATCACTCAAAATAGCATCTAAACTAAAACTTTTAGCTATCACTCTTTCAATATAAATAACTAAACTATCAGCAAGAAATTCATCATTCATCTTGTTTCGCAGTCTATTCTTCACTATCTTCATAGCCGAAAATGCACGTTCACCTGTAGCAGTGGAAACTGGAAGAGTCAGGAGAAGACGAATCAGCCTATCAACAAGATAGAAGTCATTTGATAATCCTGTCTCTGTTAATCCCTGACATAACTCAGAAATAGACGATAGCTTCTGTAAAGAAGAGTGATTAGGAATTTCAAATCGAAAAAGCCCCAACTGGAACTCTAATGTATCCATTTCCTCTTCTGAAAAATCAAGAGGATAATACTCCTTTGCAAGCTTACAGATAGCAGTAATGTCGAACGCGTCTTATACCCATCTTTAGGAACCAAACTTGAGCTCAACTTCGGTAGCTCCACAACTCTGTCATTAAACCTTGACTCTAGTTCTGCAATTTGAACATCAATTGCAGCATTGAATACATCATAATGGTAATGATGTTCATTTGTAACATCTCGCTTTCGGATGGACCGACCTCTGAAAAATGGAGCATTAAGATCAGGAGCCTCAATATCATGTTTCTTGCAAAATGCAATGACATCAGCCAGCAAAGAATCCCCCTCTTTCTCCCTAACTTCGCTCAAGAGTTTTTTTGTAGATTCCACCAATCTAATTGCATTGAGGATGTCTTGAGACTTCCGTTGCAAAGCCACACAAAGCATATCAGTGGTGCCCAATATTTTCTTCATCATCAACAAATTGAACACAAAATCAAAAGACTTCATTCTTTCTAAAGATGTAGTAGCATCCCATTTAGTTTTGGAGCTACTTCCGTCATTCATTATGTTCTCTAAAACTTTGCAAGTTGAACCATACAACCTGATAAGATTAGATATAGATCTCAAATGTGAACTCCAACGAGTATCACTAGGTCTTTGTAGAGTACTAACCTGATTAGCACCTTTTCTTGTCTCAATTTCACATGTTGCTAGCTGAAGTGCAATTTTGGATGCTTCTGCGGCTTCTAACTGATCTTGGCGCTTACAAGATCCAGTAACAGCAGTTACGATGCTTGACAAGTGTGTGAAAAACTCATGAACCCAAAACACATCTCTAGCAGCTGCAACTAATGATAACTGAAGACGATGAGCCATACAGTGTACATAATATGCTTGAGGAGAGTCCTTCAAAAATAATGCCTGCAATCCATTCCACTCACCACGCATGTTACTAGCACCATCATATCCTTGTCCACGAAGATTTTGAATTGGGAACTTATAGAAAGAAAGAGCTGAGCGGATTGCAGAATACAAAGTCTTTGATGTTGTATCTTCCACATGAATAATATCAAAGAAGCGCTCTTGTATAAACCCTTTAGCATCAACGAAGCGAAGAACAATCGCCATTTGTTCATGATTGCTTTCGTCACTTGCCTCATCCACAATTATTGAAAATTTAGAATCTCCCACTTCTTCAAAGATATGGGTGCTTACCTTCTTAGCCAAGACATGCAGAATTTGCTTCTGAATCTCAGGCGATATGTACTTCGCATTCAATGGAGCATTATCTAACACCACACTATCTATTTCTTCATTGTTATCGGCTAAAAATTGAAGATGCTCGATAAAGTTGCCCCGATTAGTTGACTCAATAGACTCATCGTGGCCTCTAAAAGCACGCCCTTGCAACGCTAACAAACGAGCAACCTGTATTGAAGATTTCACACGAAGTATATTCTTCTTCACTTCTTCAGAGGTTTGTCTCTCCATCGCTTTGTCAATGTGCCCAGATTGTTCTAACAAAGCATCACGTTTTCTCAAAACATTATTATGATGAGAATTCGGTTTGTCCCCAATATGCTTTTGGAAAGAACAATCCTTTCCATGAACCTTTTTCCAATTTCGAAAACCTCCATTGGTAAATACGTCCCAACCAGATTCAGCGATCGGCTTTTCCGTAAAGAGATAACATGGCAGACAATAAACAACATCTTTTGTTTCCGAATATTCAATCCAAGGAAATTCTTTGTACCATGAGGCTTGAAAGCTGCGAAGATGATCACCAAATCGAGTCTTGGGAAATTTTGGAAGTTTAACTCGGTGAGGACCGGATGTCAAATATGCTCGCCTAATCTCGTCCTGTTTGCCATGCGGATATGTCCAAATTGGATTTCGCAAACCCGGATCTCGTTCCACTATAGCAAAAGATGGATCCTAAACTCTTGAACTAGGGATTTCTTCTTGCTCCTCCTCTTCTTCTACTACTTCTTCCACCTCTTCTTCCACATCTTTTTCTTGTTCGCTTTGCAAAAGATTTTCAGCTTGTATCTCTTCCTTTTTCTTAAAAAAGGAATCAATCGTATTTTGCTTCCTCTTCATATTCACTGAAAAATATAAGATGCTATTATTATTTGGAGAATAATGTTTGAAAAGACTAAACAAGTTGTAGCCAAAAACAAAACAATGAAACCTCAGCGTTGGAGAGATTCTGTCACCGCCACTTACATCTGCTTCGGAGCCTCCTACAGTCTTTGATGGCACAACTAGGTTGTGATTGTCTCTATTTCTATGGTTTCTTTCTTTGGTTTCCTATCACGTTGTATGCTTTAGCAGAGGAAGAAAGACAACAAAACTAGCGGAATAGGGTTAGCCTTTCTAGGATGGCTAATAAATAAGGATTTGTTTATCTATTTCAAGTTGGGACTTGGAATTATTATGGGGATAGGAAAGGTTTCAGTTGGGGATAGGGAATGCCAACGTAAATGGGAATTGGAATTAAAAAGGTCTCTGTTTGGTTTGGGGAATGGCAGACGAAGAGCAAAATTAATTGGCAGATGGGAATCGAACTCATGTGCTCAAAGCACAAGTAAAGGTTGGCTACCATTAGAGCACAAGATATTACTTGATAAAATTTACAGAACAAACTTTATTTATAAATTTTGTACTAAATATACTTAAGGTCCTCGGGGCCGGGGCCCACCCCGGCTTCAATGTAGCTCCGCCCCTGGAGCATAGGCATGTTGTTTACTACAACACAATCATGGATATATATGTGTGTGTTAGTAGGTGATTCGAGCGGCAAGTCTCGTGCTTTTTCGAGCTCGATGTACGAGACCACGGGTCTAAAAGAGGGTACTTTTTGGTCGGAGAATAAGTTGCTTGATTTAAGTTAGACTTCAAAATCTGGCGATGCGTTGTTGCTTGTCATGGGAAATATGTCGTAGTTATCCGCGGGATTATAGTTACACATTAATTCCCACTACAAATACGAGTTATCCAGGACCATCTAATTTCTTTCGTTCTTTCATTGAAAATATTGATCAATCGGTCGATGACTTTCTCTCTTTGTTTTTGTCTGACTGCTTCTAGTTTTAGCCGTTTTCGAACACCATACCCTCTTATCAGGGCGTATTAGGAGTAGGCCCTTGACATGAAAGATCCAGACTTATAATTAAAAGTTGCTAGACGGACCTATTAAAAAATGTTGAACTTTTGAAACTCCTGATTTCTCATTTCTTCCTTTCAATCAAAATTGTAATCGTAAGTTCATAGCTATAATTGAAAATAGAAAAGGTCATATATGTAATTATATGATCCAATCCAATTGATTCATGATATAATGATATTAAGTTATGTAATCTTTGTGTTGATATTATATACAATCTGATCTTTGTGGTAAGCAATGTTGTGAAGGGAACCGGTTTGATCTACCAGCACCACCTAACAAAACCACCCAAATACACCAATAGTGGTTTTAAATTACACAATTGAATCGATCGATATCCTAGTGATACAATTGACTAACTACTATATGTATTTTTATTTTCTAACATTAACTAATTTGGCACTAATCCAACTCCGAAATAATACTAATTTCACTTTGTATCTTCTAATAAGCAACAGCAACCGGCCTCTATAATTAGGTAACTAATCATATTATTATATCATATGGCGTCATTAAGATTTTGTTTTATATATTACCCGTCATGAAAGTTGGTTATATAGTTGGTGGGATTAATCAAACGACAACTATGGTTTTTAAGTGAACTAAATAAATTCAACCTTGATCAAATACTTGATAAGAAAAAAAATTACTCAAATAACTAGAACTCACAATCTCCCACAACGAATAAACTTTCATGAACCCGGGATACCGATCTGTTATTGGCATAATATAGCCCAAGATGAGGATCGAATCAAGTGCAAAACCCTGCATAACCTTGTTTACCACAGATGATTATTTATATCGTACTATCTATTGACAGGGCCACTTAAGGACAAGGTAGGTCATATTTATAATTTACCTAAAAGAGCCATTATTTATAGGTAAAAATGTTCATCATTGTGTCTTCAAATCCACGTGTCAGGAAATAATAGGCTAAAATTAGACCCACAATAATTGGCCACGAGATTTTCATATTGTGGGATCAGCTCGATCTCAATCGTATTGGATACGGGTCGGATCCGTTCCGATTAGGGCTGTCAGTTCGGTTGCCGGTTAGCGGCTAACCGGCTGGTCGAACCGAAAACCGCCGGTTAGCGGCTAACCGGAAACCGAAAAAAATGGCTTACGGTCGGTTGTCGGATGGGTTCAGGGGTTAGGCGGTTAGCCGAAAAACCGAGAGCGGTTAACCGGCTAACCGACGCTAACCGACCGACGCTAAACGACCCCGTTTTGGCCTAAATAAAATCACCCACCTCCCTAAACCCTAGCAGTTGAGCAGCCCCATCCTCTTATCCTCCCCCATCCTCCCTCCTCCTCCCGCATCCTCCCTCCGACGACGACCCCGGCCACCATCCCCTGCCTCCTTCGATACCCCTTCTTCCACCGCCACACACAACTTGCCGCCCGTGCGCCTCGCCGCCCTCCCCTGTCTCCGCCGCCGCGCGTCTCGCCTCCTCACCGCCGCGCGCATCGCCTCCTCCCCGCCGCGCGCATCGCCTCCCCGCCGCGCGCCTCGCCGCCGCATCGCCGCGCGCCTCGCCGCCCGTCGCCCCTGCAGATCTGTTTGCATGGCCCATGGGAAAGAAGGTGAAGAAGCCACCAAAGAGGAAGCTCCTGCCCCCGCAGAAGAAGAGAAGAAAGAGGAAGAGAGAGAGAGAGGATGTCGGCGATTGAGCGGGCGGTGGCGATTTTGGCTTGGCGGGCGGCGGCAAGGTGAGAATCGAGAGAGTAGGGAGAGAGATAGGTTGCTTTTAATTTTTTTTGTTTTCCATTCTCTGGAAAGGAAGAAGAATCGAGAAGTGAGAGGGGGTGAGGAATGAGTGGTGCTGAATTTTTGTTGTTTTTAATTTTTTTTTTTTTTTAGAAAGGGTATTTTCCGGTTGGCCGGTTAACCGAGCCTAAAATCGAAACCGATCGGTCGGTTGGCCGGCTAACCGTGACCAGTCTCACGGTCGGCGGCTATAAGTGGTGGCTCGGTTTAACCGATAACCGGGTTTTTTATTTTCGGTTAAACCGAAACCGACCGACTGCCACCCCTAGTTCCGATCCACCCATGAATTGAGATGTAAAGAACCGGTTAGTACTTACTTAGTTGTAAAATTTCTAATAAATTGTATTGTTTGCAGATGTTAAATTATAGATCGTACAGGATATTATTTATTAACATGTTTTTTTCAAATGAAATCCAACTTATATGAGTTTGAAATTTATACAGGTCAAATATCAAGTGCTTAATATGGGTGATCATGCATCGGGATTCGAGCACAACGATCTTTCAATCATCGAAGAATTTGATATTATGTCAAGAACCAGCTAGTCCTAATAACTCGAGTTGCTAGAACATATTCAATTATGATTCTTATATCATTTACAAACCAGATGCATACAAACTTTTGTTATGAACTCACGAAGTAATGAATACGACTTCTACTACTTTGAATAGTAATGCAGTAAGCAACGGACAAGACACTAGGCAAAAGGAAAACGCCTCGCCTTGGTCATAAGTAACGGACACGGCGTCTTGAGTATGTTGTGGCCTGGTGGTGCCTAGTCAGCACTGAGTTGCGTCTCAAAATGACATCACAGTGTCTCTTTTTTTTACTTACCTTTTGATATGTCACTAGGTTATAGAGAAATAAAGACGGTCACATCTTGTCCTTCTTCCCCTCCGAGTGTTCTTAGCCACTGGGCTAGAGTTAGAGTCGACCATTTTTAGATTAGCTTCTTATTTCTTTTTTGTGCTTATTCTCTCTCTCTATTCGCTCCACTATTTTCGGCTTCTTATTCCTTTCTTATTTCTTTACACTATGTTTTATACTTTACCATGTGTTGTTGTCGAGGGCGTAGAAATGAGAGGTATACACGATAACATTGATTCGTAAACTTGTGATTCTTGACAAACATGAGATATTTTGCTATGTTTACATTCAACGGTTAGCCACACCTAGGTGACGTTTAGGCATGTTAGCCACACCTAGCGTTTTCTTGAACTTTAAGTAATAATAGAATTTACATTTAGTGTCGAGTTTGAACCTTAACTTTTTTTATGTATGCATATTTCTTTTCCTTTTTCTATTAATTCAGATCGCATTGTTGTACATAGATTCTTATCATTTCAGTACATGGTTCTCCACTTTGTGAAGTTCCATGCTATACATGATATGATGTATATGTTATGTTTCAAATCTCAACTAATTGAGATCTTAATTAAACTAAGTAATGCCACCCATGTTTTAGTTAGAATCTTAGTAGCTAGCTAGGAAGGAACCTTCCCATCCCACAAGTAGTACTCCCCATCTAATCATTTGTTTGTATAGTATAGTGT